CACCATCTTGGCGACAGGTGCAAATGCCTCCATATAGTCAATGCCCTCCACCTGTCGGTTACCCAAGACGACCAAACGCACCTTGTAGCGCTCAACAGAACCATCAGAGTTATATTTAATCTTGTAAATCCACTTGCAACCGATCGCGTGTTTTCCAGTAGAAAGAGAAACAATATCCCAAGTATGGTTGGATTCCAATGCTCGAATCTCCAGTTGCATAGCCGAACACCAGCGACTATCTCGAACAGCCTCAGAAAAAGTTCGAGGCTCAACAACAGAATAAATGACTGCCAGAAACGACTTATGTGCAGGTGAAAAGGAATCACATGAAACATAATGTATGAGAGGGTAAGGAGTACCAGACGATAATGTGATTGAGGAGGTAGAGTTGGGGGGACGAGGAACAAACAGTGTGAGAGACAAAGTCGGCAAGACGGGAAGAGGGTCTCTTGAGATGATGACCACGGCCCAGTAATTCCTCTTGGGGAGGATTACCCCCTATCAATAATTACGTCAGAACCCCCAGTGTCAGCGGTACGCGTCGTGGTGGGAACCACCACATTATCATCATCGTCAGAAACAGAAGGCCATGGAACTAGAGGTACGGAGGCAGTTTCAGGAGCATGTGACGTCAAATAAGGGAACTCTGATTCACAGAATTGCACATCACGTGAGACCAGAAAAGTGCGGCTGTCCAAATCATAAACACACCACCCCTTTTGACTAGATGAATAGCCAACAAAAACACATCGACGACTCCGACTTGCAAACTTGTCACCTTCCCTGTTCTGATTGTGTACGTAACACAGACAACCAAAAACACGTAAGTGCAAATATTTGGGAGGTTCTCCATACAAAATTTCATAGGGAGTCTTGCCGGATAAGAGAGGAGTAGGCGTTCGATTAATCAAATAGCCAGCAGCAAGTACACAATGTCCCCAGAACTCAATCAGTAAATGGGCTTGAAAGCGTAATGCTCGAGCAACATTAAGAATATGCTGATGTTTGCGCTCAGCACTGCCATTTTGTTGAGGAGTTCCGACACAAGAAGTTTCATTAACAATCCCCTGTTGACGAAAATAATCACGCATACGAGTAAATTCAGTCCATTGTCACTGCGGACAGTTTGAACCAACACACCAAATTGTCTTTTGACAAAAGCAAAAAATTGCAGTAAAGTGGAAGACACCGAAGATTTGTCATCCAATAAGAAAATCCAAGTACTGGGAGAATAGTCGTCAACAATAGTCAGAAAATATCGAGCACCACTAAAGGCAGGAACTCTATAAGGTCCCCACACATCACAATGAATCAAACTAAAAAGGGAACTGCTAACACTTCGACTAAGAGGAAAGCTAGCACGAGATTGCTTCGCCCGACAGCAAACATCACAAATTTTATTCGAGACCAAGGACTGAGATTCAACAAAAGGCAACTGACCAAGAACAGTAGAAGAGGGATAACCCATGCGCTGGTGCCACAAGTGTTGCATAACCGAAGACACCCGAGAAGCATTGGCAGCGATCGTCCCTCGGAAAAAATAGAGTCCCCCCAACTGCTCTCCCGCTCCAATCACCGTCCTCGAAGTGAGGTCCTGAATAGCACAATATTTACTAGTGAAGGTAGCAACACAACCTGATTGTTC